ACATCCCTGCCCTAGACGGCCACTTTCCTGTGGCTAGTGCAGAGATTGTGGACGTTGGAGGCCTCCCCCCAAACCTGGATGAAGTCCATGATCTCCACACTAGCCCAGGCGGGCCCCCCCCTCTTGCAGCTCCGGGCAGGCTCCTGGGAGCTGCCAGCCTGTCCTGGGAAGAGGCGGAGGGCTGGGTGGCAGCGGGTGGCTGGCTCATGCCGTGCCAGGTGCAGGGTCTGCTGGCTGGGTGCTGGCAGGCTTGCAACTAGCACAAGCACTGTAACCAGACTGTGCCCCTTTAAGGGCTCCGGGGCCAGGAGGGGGGCAGAACAGTTTCCCTGGTTGTGCCCAGAGTGGCCATCAGGGCAAGCTGGGAAGGGCTAGCTTCCCACTGAGGTTCGAATTAAGTCGCTACGCAGCCCTTAATTCGAACTAGTTAATTTGAACTAGGCATTAGTCCTCGTAGAATGAGGTTTACCTAGTTCGAATTAAGCGCTCCGCTAGTTCGAATTCAGTTTGAAATAGTGGTTTGCCTGTGTAGCGCCTATGAAAGTTAATTCAAACTAACGGCTGTTAGTTCAAATTAACTTTGTAGTGTAGACATTCCCTTAGAGTGTTCATCTTACTCAGAGTTTTCAAATGCAACATCTGAAATGACATTAGGTACAAACTAAATGAATGTGCATAAGCAGAGCTCGCAGTGTGGTACCCGTGTTGGTTCCAGGTACTGTATTAGAGACACAAGAAAGGGTGAGGTCATATCTTTTATTAAACCTATTTCTGTTGATGAAAGAAGAGCTCTGTGTAAGTCGGAAAACTTGTTTCTTTCACCAGCTGAAGTTAATCTAATGAAAGATATGACATCACTCACTCAGTCCATAAAGATAGCACTGTAAATAAGGGAAAAGAACTAAAGCAGATGTTATGTCAGAGAGATATTGTGTCAACACCCTTTGTTGTGAATATCTGAACTGTGCAGGATCAGCAACCTCTGGGCACTGTAAATAAGCTAATCCATCAGTGCATCCTTCCATCTAAATACAATGTGTAAATCAGTCGGACTATATAATTGGAGCAGCTCCTGGACTCAGAAATAAAATCCACATTCCTGGCTCTACCAGTTTGAACAAAATAGAAACATGTAGAATAAAAATCTATGATAATCATCGTTCCATTCACATCTAGCAGAGAAAAGATGCAGACAAATAAATCAATCTCTTCAAGCCTGGTGTGGAACTACAAAGTCGTGATTTATAATCCAGTGCAATAAAAAGAGCATTTGACGTAGACACATGAGTGCAAACCACTTGTGCTTCAAAGCCTTTTTTAATCACAAAATGTGTGTTTCCCTTAATAAGTCCTTCCTGTGTCCCCTCTAGGTAGGGACAGGTCCTTTAAAGTGGACAAGGCAGGAGCCCGCTAGGCCAACAGCAAACTGCTGTGCTGAGGGTCCATTCAATAGTTCAGGAGTGACCCATGGGGCTGCAGAAGACCCTGTCTTCCTAGAAGGCACATTGCAGCAAGCTGTGCCCTGGAGAGTAGGGTTCAGACCTTCACAGCTAGCTGGGAGCCACTAGAGGGCAAGTAGGGGTGGAGGGAAAGCAGTGAGAAGAGGGGAAGAGGAAAAGAAGGGAAAGAAAAAATAAAAGGGGAGTGAAGTGGAAGCCTGCAGACACAATGTCCTCCCACCTCTTCCCCGGGTGCGAATGTGCAGGGCAGCCAATGGTAGTCAGCCACCTCATAAAGGGGACCCATTGTACAAGGAACTCTTGGTCCTGGGATTCTATTCCAGGTTGTGGAGCGCAGGAGAGCTGTGGCCCTACGTTCAGCCAGCACCTTAGCCAGGCTCCCGCAGCCAGCACTCAGCGTAGTCACCCCTCGTCCTGAAACTGCCTGTCTGAGGCCATCTGCTGCAGGAGCCTGGGAGCAGCAGAGTGGGGTGAGTGGGTCTTGCTGCCTTAACAGGTGGCTGCCAGCGAGGGTGGCCCCTGAAGAGCCAGGGAGACACACAGGGCATTGGGGCGTGGGGTGGGGCCTTTTTTCTTCTCTCCCTTACCTCTGCAAATGTGGTGGCCCTGGCTCTTCAAGCAAAAGGTATTGTTCCTCATTGGGAACACACCCAGGCTATGTCTAGACTGCAGTGGTTTTCTGGGATATGTGGAGGTATCCTGGAAAAGCAATGCCGCGTCCAAGGAACACTTCTGCTTTTCCAAAAAAAATTTCAGAAAAGCGGACGCATTCTTTCACCATCTCTATAAATCTCATTTCACGAGGAAGAAGGGATGGCTCGAAAGAGCAAGTTTTTCCAAAATTTGACGCTGTGTAGATGCACCAAATTTCAGAAAAGCCTCTCTAGAAAGAAAAGCTTTTACGACTTTTCTTTGTAGTTTAGATGTAGCCCCAGTTGCTGTAAATGCCATTTATTAAAAACACTGCTTTCCTGGGGGAGGAAACCTTTGCACCCCTTCCAGGGGCTGGTCAACACCCCCACCTAATTGAATCTATCTTGAAATCCTGTGAATTTTATAAAGAGGAAATGGTATCTGATGATAAAAGTGTTAACATATGATCCAAAGCCTATTAAAGTCAGTAGAAAGATGCTCATTGACTCTTGTGGGCTTTGGGTCTGGCCCTCAATTTAAGTTTATTGATAATCATTTGTGATCAGCCCAAGCTTTAATGGGCAGTTTTGTAAGCCCTTTCTGCAAGGACTAATCCTGATTTTTAGATTTGTTACACTCTAGCGTGGTATGAGGTTGTCAGTATGGGTCAGTATGTGTGCACGAAAAAATGTCTCAAAGATAAAAAGTGTATACTGAATGAAATTACTTTAATCCACAACTGGTGAAAAAGTTCTACCTTTTTTGAGGTTTTTATCATGTTAGTGGACAAATATTTTCTAATTACTTCTGTTTTTTTAGCAGTTGCACTAGAATATAAATTCTACCAATAAAGTTACAGATTAATTGTAAAGGTTTGCCTATATACCGAGTTATTCAGAAATAGCTAGGCTGCTGTGATTTTACACCTACCTTAATCTGAATTAACTCTCAGTATAGACCAGTTTGTGGCAGAGTATCTGTAAATGTTTGAGCATAGATAGAGACTTCCAGTTATTACAATATATTCACAGTCCTTGCCAGGACTGTCCTTAGGATTTAACGGGCCCTACATGGTACTATTAAACTGGTGCTCCTATGCTTAATGTCAGCCCAGACTGGGAGGAATGATTTTTTTTAGATATGATTTTATAATCTTCAGCAACATACTAATAAAATACTTTAAAAATGAATTTGAAACTCATGTCCTGTACAGTAACACAGTAAATTCATAGAAGGGTAGCCATGTTAGTCTGTATCTTTAAAAACAATGAGTAGTCCTGTAGCTAGCAAATATATATAGTATCATGAGCTTTCATTGGTAAGACCCATCCGATGAAGGGGTACTCACAAAAGCCCATGATACTGTATATTTTTCTTAGTCTCTAGGGGCATGTCCACACTAGGAAATTATTTTGAAATAACTTATTTTGGAATAATTCCAGAAATAAACTATTTTGAAATAGTAGGTCCGCACTACAGGGAAGCCTTGACATTAGTCCAAGGCAGGCTCCCTTAATGTGGATGTGCTACCTCAATTTAGAGCCCCAGGAAGCACCGGGGAATAATTACTTTGAATGACTCTGGGAAGGAATTATCATATACAGTAAACTTCTGATAATCCGGCACCTTTAGGAACCAGGGGGTGCCAGATTATCAAATATGCCGGACTATCGGAAGGGGGGGCTATGAGGAGTCTGGGGTGGCATCCCCCCCACCATACCCCAGACCTCCTCATAGCCCCCCCTTCTGATAGTCCAGCATATCTGATAATCTGGCACCCCCTGGGTCCTAAAGGTGCCAGATTATCAGAAGGTTACTGTACTTCAAAAACTTTGGTATTAATTTATCAAAAACTTTGGTATAGGTATATCAGGGATTTGAAAAATCATTCAGATTGTTTAATCGGCATCTTCCTCCTAACACCTCAAATGAAAGGAGAAGAATTTGAGTATTCACATTATTTGGCCCAGTACAGTTATTTGACTTCTTTCAAAAAACAGTAGATTTTTTCCAGTACTTGGTGTCTTTGAACTCCTTGTAACCAACAGCAGTCCAGTAAATGGATTGTGTTGAAATTTATACCTAAGATTTGTTCATCATATATATAGTAGGCCAATGTCTGAGAGTCTGTAATGCTGAAATGCTGGCTGTTCCCTGTGGGCAGCGCTGTTGCTGAAATGCTGGCTGTTCCCTCTGGGCAGCCCATGCTGCATGGAGAGTGCGGGGCCCAAATGGCTGCTTGCTTCCCCGCGGCGGCACAGCTGTGCGGTGCAGAAGTCAACTAAATGCCATGGCGGAAAGGGAAGGTGGGACGGGGTGGTGATGTGCAGTGTGACAGCAGCTCAAGGCCCTGCCCCCTGGCCATGAACGTCACCGCCCCATCCCCCTTCGCATCCCGCCGTGGTGGTCGGCTGACTTCTGCGCCACTCAACCAGGCCGCCGCGTGGGAGCAAGTGGCACAAGCAACCGTTTGGGCTACACGCTCCCCATGCAGCACGGGGAGTGCGGAGCCCAAATGGCTGTTTGGTCTCCACGGTCCCCCGAGTGAGAGGCAGCAGGGGGCGAAGAAGAGAAAGAGAGAGGCAGGAGGCGGAGGAGAGCTGAGGAGTGGGAGAGAGACATGGAGTGAGAGACCGGAGGCTCAGGAGAGAAGACCGATGTGGAGGAGAGACCTAAAAATCCCGTCTTATGACGGGCTAATTGACTAGTTTTAAAATAGCAGCAGTGACGCATCCACACTGTCACTATTTCAAAATAACTATTTCGAAATAAGCATTATTCCTTGTAGAAAACAGGAATTATTATTTTGAAATAACAGGCTTGATTGTGTGGACACTCCACATGTTATTTGGAAATTAGGGGAGTTATTCTGAAGTAACTCCCTAGTAATTACCATTTGAATGGCTCTTTCACAATGTTCTGCTAATAGGCCTGGCAGGTCTTTTCACTTTTAAATTAACTAGATCTTCTCAGGAGGAAGCAGAGTCACAGAACAGTGATAGGAGGAGGTGAATGGGCATTAAGACCCAGCGGTACCCCATATTTTCAGGTGCCCATCTCAGCTGCATATTCTGTATGTGGGTGAGGATGGCCCTGGACCTTGCACACTATTCTTAGTCCCTGAAACATTGGGGTACAGAAAAGGGGTATTAGATACTGACACGATGCTGTTAGAAGTTCAGCACGAGCACTGTTTTGTTTGTCAGGCTCAGATTTTCAAAGGAGCACAAGGACAGGTGTTCAAGTGTTCAGCACTTACAAGTGGTGACAGATTTTCACAGCAGCTCAGCCCCAATCCAGGAACCCCGATCCAGGCCAGATTTTCTGAGGCACTCATCATCCAATGTGCTGAGCTCTTTGGGCTTTGATAGCAAGGCAATGCAACAGTCCTTAAGAAGGAGCAGGAAGAGCTACCCCACTCAGCCTGAGTCCCAGTAAACAGATGGCCTTTCTGAGAACTTGCTGGGGAAGAGTTCCTTATAGAGCACCTTTTATACACGGTGGTGTGAAGTGGGAGCAGATTAATGGCCCTCCCTCTGCTCTTTGGGTCATCAGGTATGAGCCTGGAGGAATAGAGAAGGAGCAAAGTACAGGGTTGGGCTCTGATGCAAGTGACGGGCAGGCAAAGAAGACCATTGTATCTCCCTTCCTTTGCATAAAAAACAGGCTCAATCTGGCCTTTAGTTCTGGCATTGCAACCTTGCATTGCAGCCAGTGCTCAAGGAAGGATGACAGGATTTGTTCCCTACTGATGACTAATGATGCTCGGGGCTGTATTTGAAGAGGGGAAAATCCTTGGGGGTAACTTCTGCCCTCACATCTGCCATCACTTTAGCTGAGGGCAGAATCTGATGCCCCAGTCTTCTTTTAACCCCTTCGTCACCATGACCATGGTACGTATCGTGCAGCTGCTCTGCAAACATGAGCCCTTGCTATGATTTCTATGGAAACTCAGATAGTCGATGGGTTGGAATAGGCTTGAACCATCTGTTCTTCCCCTAATTATAAACTGGATAGGAGGAACATGTTTCACAGTGACATCCCTACAAAAGTTCTTCTTTTATTCGGCATGGAACCATCTGTGATTATTTGCTCATGTGCCAAAGATAATAAAGGGGTTTTGGGGCTGGGAAGGGAGACAGGCTGAATTCTGAGTCAGGTCAAGGAATCTGCTGATATAGCTGGTTCGATCTCTATTTTTTCTTTAAGTGCAGCTTCTCGGGAGGGAGCATTCACCACGTTTACCTTATCGCTGTATCTGCCCAGAAGTGAAGGCTGACAGCAACAGGAAACCATGAAGGGTTCACAGGTAAAAAAATCACCAAAGCCAATGTCAGAGGCAGTAGGGAGGGGTATGAGCAAAACAGCACAAACTCTCTCCCACAGCTGTTGAGAAGACTGTGGATGAGACTCCGGCCTCGTTGAAGTTTGTGGCCAAAGTCCCCAGGCCAGGATTTCACTTTGTCTGAATAAATGCTGGCCATCTAAGGAAAAGATTGTCTAGTGATCTGAGCAGTGGGCTGGGAGCCAGACACTGCTGTGGCCTGACCCTAGGTCATCGCATTGTAATGGTGGCTTGGCATGTGGAACTGGGCGAAGAAGGTTCTGGAAGCCCTCGCCCCTCATCTCTGTCTTTCTCTCCTGAGAGAAATTGGGATTTCCAGGTGAAAAGCAGCATTAGTGCCTGCTGTAGCGTTTGGCAGACCTGGAGGAGTATCACAGCCAGGACCACGCACGACTCCTGTACTCAAAAACTGCTAGAGTTATGCAGGCTGATAGATATTAAAGGGTGTAGCAATTGCTGCTTCTGCATGTGCTTTCCTAGAGACCTTGGAGACCTTTTGCTTACTGCTGTGAGCTGCCAGACCTAATATTGCTGTGGTTTTAAACACTACAACAGAACAGTTCTCCTTCCGTAACACAGGGATGGAACTACTTCACTAGCTCAGCACAGTTGCAAGGACAGACTAGTTAGTGTTTGTTAACGGAAGGCATATCTGTGTACATAGATACTCAAGAGTTAGTATTTATACTTTCTTAGGCAACTTATTAAGATTTTGACAAAAATGCCCCCTTTCCGCAGCGCTGGAAAGAGTCCCAGTCCAGAAGCGACCCTTCTGAGCTCACTGAGAAGGAGAAGGAAAAGATGGCTGAGACTGAACTCCAGAAGCTACAGCAGCAGTTTCGGATCATGGTAGAAAGTCGGAAGTCTTTTGGTGTGAAAACGCAACAGCATATGTTCCATCAGGAGTAAGGGCAGCTTCATTTGCCTACTGTGTCAGAGAAAAAGAAAAGACGCCTCTGAGTGTGGGCTGCACACATCCTCTGTGGGCCTGATTCTGTTCTCACTTGTGCCTGGAGCAGTTACACTAAAACCACCCTGAGCCAGGTTCTCAGCTCTAGTGTAAAATGATGTAGCTGCATTGACTTCCAAAGAACTATGTTAGCATGCATCAGCTAGGGGTATGACCCTCTGTGTTTTACATACTACACAATACTGGAGGGCCACAAAGCACACATTTATAAGCTTTGGGCCCAATCCTCCAGCAATGGTTTGTCTCCTGGTGTCATTTGGGAATACTGGATACACAAGAAATACAGGATTGAGCTATTTATAGGTTACTATGCTCTTGATAATCTTTTGAATGTCCTGCTTTCACATAATTAATATATTTGCATAGAATAATTAGAGACCCTTTATTTAGATCCGAATTCTTCCTTATGTAGAACTCGCTTTGAAATCATTGGGTGGTTTTAAATGCAAGCTAGGCTATAAAGCTTATACATTTTTGAAAAAAAAGTTTTAATTTGTTTTTGTTTGGAGCAATGTCTTTCATATATTTTTTAAATAATTTGTCTAAACTAATCTCTCCCTCTTTAAAAGCATGAAGCTAAAATTGCAAGGGTTAAATAGTTGATGTTTGTACAGTGCTTTGAAAATACTAAGTGCCAGATATCATTTTTATCAATTTTTCTACAGAAAAGAAATATCTTCACTGAAGCAGGAATATGAAGAGATTGCATTGCTCTTGAGCCTTACAAAGTCACAGAGAAATATGATGCTGGATAACAGAAACTGTATGGAACTCAAATTTCTTTTACAAACCAAAGAGGAATATGATTCTCTGATCAGAGCAACAAAAGCTCTGATAGCAGAACTTGATGATAAGGTAGAGTAGCTGAATAGTTAAATGGATAAACATGATATTCATCAGCAAAGCCACAAAATGAGCAACATCCTATTTATCTGTCACAGTTAGGATGGTAGCTCTTTCTTTGCTTTGCAGCTATGCAGCTGTTTAGCTTCAAGTGTCTTCACATTTCAAAGCTTGGCCAAAGAGCAATTCAATGATTGCTACCCAGTACTGCTTCTGTTACACACTTGAGTAAGTCTTATCTGAGTAGTGCCAATAAAGTAAGCAGGACGTCTTGCAGAAACAAGAATTACTTAGATAAGTGTCTGCGGGATCATCAGACTTTACATTGGCTATACATTTTCAGGCTTTTGCTCTAACTCAACATAACCATAGGATTATGATCAAATTAGTCTGAAAGCCACAATAAATCTCTGAATCAAATAATTAAAGAAGGGGGGGAGGGGTACTGGCCTATCTACAGTTTGTTTGCAGGAAAATCTTGTGTTTGAAGTATTTGTATATAAAATGTAACAGGTCAGGCCTTGGAATATGATGTCACCACGGCTACGTCTAGACTGGCATGATTTTCCGGAAATGCTTTTAATGGAAAAGTTTTGCGTTAAAAGCATTTTCGGAAAAGAGCGTCTAGATTGGCATGGACGCTTTTCCACAAAAGCACCTTTTGTGGAAAAGCGTCCATGCCAATCTAGATACGCTTTTCTGCAAAAAAGCCCCGATCGCCATTTTCGCGATCGGGGCTTTTTTGCTCAAAACAAATCTGAGCTGTCTACACTGGTCTTTTTGCGCAAAAGGACTTTTCCCGAACTGGAGCAGCATAGTATTTCCGCAAGAAGCACTGATTTCTTACAGTAGGAAGTCAGTGCTTTTGCGGAAATTCAAGTGTCCAGTGTAGACAACTGGCAAGTTTTTCTGGAAAAGAGGCTGATTTTCTGGAAAAACTGGCCAGTCTAGACACAGCCCTCTTATGTTCCTAATACAGCCTATTATAGAGTTTGCCCAGTGACTTTTGGTTCTACTCTGGTCCCTGTGTTCTTGTACACCACTATTGCTTCAGGGGGTGGCCTGAGTACAGGAAGGGGGGTATGGGATTTGCTGGTGAATATTCCCTATCCCACCATTGCTCTCATTGTTTTTTATGGAAAAGAGACAAAATGGTATTTCTTTGTTAAATGTGAAATTAAAACAATAACCAAATACATACAGTAAATCTCAGAGGGGTAGCCACGTTAATCTGTAACTTTAAAAACATCAACTAGTCCTTTGGTACCTTAGGGGAAAAAAAGTATCATGAGCTTTCATGGGCAAAACCCACTTCTTCAGATGAACTATAGTGGAAATAACAGAACCCAAAATTTATAAGAGTGTGGGGATAAAAAGCGGGGGGAAAAAAGCTACCTGTCAATTGTAGTACCGGTGCTAATGAGGCTAAATGAGTGAGCTGGGAGTGTCCCATACTTAGCTTAGTGTTAAATGCAGGGATGGTTTTATAATGCAACATCCATTTAATATCTTTGTTCAAGTCCAGGGAAACAAATTTGCAGATAAATGTCAATTCTGCACTCTCTCTCTGTGTAATTGGCTTGTGAAATACCCTCACCTCTTATAGGTGATACAAAATTGGATCTGGCCAGTATTTGAAGAGGAGACCAAGGAACACCCAAATGCTGTAAAAGTGGTTTGGGAGATGTAGTAGGTAGCACCTTTCCCTGTGAGCCAGTATGGAAACCTTGACCATCATGGTGGTAGGGAAAAAAACAACAAATGGTCTGGTAGCACTTTATAGACTAACAAAACATGTAGATGGTATCATGAGCTTTCGTGGGCACAGCCCACTTCTTCAGATGACTCCAGTTAATCTATAAAGTGCTACCAGACCATTTGTTGTTTTTTTCTGTAACAGACTAACTCAGCTACCCCCTGAAGCTCATGGTGGTAGGGGTCAGTTTCAGTGCCCCTCAATTGCTTCATTCTTTTAACTACTTTGTATTGGAAGTTTCTCCAAATTCACCATTTCCCCAAACATTTCCTTATAAGCACCTTCAGGAAGGGTTCTACAGATCATAGGAGGCAGTGGACCATGAAGAGCTACAGCGCTAAAATGTTCTTAATTTTTTGTTCTACTCTGTTGCATTGTGTTGCTGTGCCCTAAACAGCTGCTGGTGTACTCTGGAGGTACCTGTAGTTCTGTGGTGACATAAAAATAAAGAGATTCCTATTTGTACTTTGTACTTCAGTGTCTGTAAAGAGGGATTATTGAGGATAAAAGCTGCTCTATAAATGTAAGATCATTACTGACCTAGGTGACTGAAGGTCAGGTCAACACATGGGTATTTATATTGGCTAAGCACACTGACTAAAATCCAGAATGTAAAGATAGATGATTTTTTTTAAGGTAATGGAGATGGAAAAAAAGATCAAAAAACAAAAACTGACTGTAGCAAAGGTGAAACAAGCGTACGATGGCAAATGGCTGCAAAAACAGATTCAGATGTTGGAGAGTCGCTTAAACAACGTAAGCAGTTCCTTAAGTACTGTTGGTACATTTTACACTGTAGCTCCTTGACTACCTGTATGTACTATGTTTTTCTAGGAGCTAGATAATGTGAATATTCAAGCACTGCTGGTTCACCCAAGCAATGAAAAGGAATTTGCCTGTCTTCACTGACCCGATCACTCTTCTTGTATAGTGCATGTCCAAGGCTCCTTTGAATTTTTCTGTCCAAGAGCAAACTTTGTGATTTCTTAGGTGCTCTCAGGGCTACACTTATTTTTGCAGCAAATTAAAGCTGATCGCAGTCAATTGTATAGGGTAGGGTAGGGTTGTAAGAATGTAACAGTTTAAATGGTTAATTGATAAACATGAGCTTATTGGTTTCCATATGATTACACACTAATTGGCGGCCCTGCTCCCAGGGAGCTGGCTACTACTCCATGCTTAAAAGCCGGCTTTCAGTGCGCACAGCTTCTTGGGAGCTCATTCAGAGCCTGCAGTGCAGGGCAGCAGCCAGCTCTTCAGGAGTGGGGTCGGCAGCTGGGAGCTGATGTGCTAGTAAGCTGGCTCCCAGCGCACATTGGTTGCTGGCCCCGCTACCAGGGAGCTGGCTGCGCTGCAGGCTTTGCAGTGTAAGTTTTATACCGCAGAGCCTGCAGCATGTAACCATGTAAGCCTTAAAATTTTGAATGGTTACACGGTTGCATTATTAACCATTTTTTAACATCTCTAGTATAGGGCAAGTGGACTTCTATCGCGACAGCTCCCACTCCATCCTGACCGAAGAGGCGTCTCCTGTAGGCACGGTGGACTGTGGTGCTGTGTTAAAGACCAGGGTAGCCAAAGTCGTGGCTAGAGACTTTCTGGGCTGTGTTCGTGCTCTGCTGTACAGAGTTTGAGCCAGAATAATGAGGCTTCTCTTTCCTGTCCTGCCTCCCATACAGACATTTCCTTTGAAATCTTTCTCCCCAGGTCACCGTCCATTTCGATACCATCCTGACCACGAATGCCAACCTCAGAGAAGAGATTGAAAATCTGCGGATTCATAAATCTATTTTTGACAACTTCTACTCAAAACTTCATAGGAAACTCGACCAGCAGAAGAAAATAATGGACACGGCAATTGAGCAGTCCACCCAAGCATACGAGCAGCGGTCAGTGGGAGAGGAAAAGGCAGAGGCCACGCTTGCTCCTGGCAGAACATTTGGCATTGCTCTCCAGGGCATAGATGCCCCTTAGTAAATATCCACTTAGGATCAGATTTTACAAAGTGCCTACTGATTTCCCACGCTCAGTATTAAAATACTCGAGACTTGATGTTCAGAAGGGTTGGTCTCTGGCAGCTCCCATTCAGCCGCTGCGGTGGGGGCCAGGACCTGTGAAAATCAGACCCTTAATGTCTGAAGCGGGGCACCAGAAGGGGAGTTAAAATCCACTTGTGAAAATGTGGGCCTAAGGGAGTTTTCTAGTGCGCAGGAAAGAGGCCTGAGTGATGGGTATAGACTAGAATCCGAGTTCCTCTGGTCCTCCATAGGACAGGTAGAGCAGTGAGGTCTTTACTCATGTAACCAATGTGCTTCTGCCAGGACCAAGGAGCAATGGCCCAATCAAACACTTGTCTTCTTAGTTAAGACAGGGGCTAGGGGGGACCTGCGAGGGCCAATGGCAGTTGTGGTTCTTAGGGCGGTGAACTCCTGCCCCATGAAAACTGAACCACACCACATCATTTCCCAAGCACCACCAACCAGCCACCAAGTTGGCACAGCGCTTGGTCCCTGCTGCACTGGGTCATATTCTAGCCAGTGTCCTTGAGGGAAAGACTTGATACCCCATTCTTCTGAGCCATGCTGCTCAGGACCCACAGTCTGTCCGTGAACCTGTGTCTGGATTGTTGCACAAAAAAAGCTCACTGTTTCACGAGTAGTATTGTGTGATTTTTGGTGGGGTCTAGGGTGGAGGCCCTGGCGCGGATTTCCGCAATGAAGGAAAGGCGCTGCAAAGACATTGCACAGTATAATGTGGAATTCAGGGAACTGGAGCGTGTCTTTGACCACGAGACCAAGCTGAAAGCCTTTATGCTCATCAAACTAGTGGATCGCTCGGACTTTGAGGATCAGTCCAAAAGGGAAGAAGGTACTGTAGGTCTGGGATAACAAATAAAAATAAATAAATAAAAAATATCCCATGCAGAAGCTGATGTGATTCAGCATAAAATCTCATGGTCTCAGTCGGCAAGGTTTTGTCCTCTGAGGAGAATGTTTATAACCCTCTCAGGCCAGGGTCTAGCCTGGTTCTTTCTAGAGAGGTTCTGTCGACAATGCCCTTAACTCCAATAACCCCAGCTCTGAATCTTGGTGTGAGGGGTGGGGATGCTGAGATGGGGGACCAGGGAGCACCCCTGCTCTCTCCCACAGAATGGGTGGCATTGTCCATTCACATAATGCTGATATGAAAGGCCATTTGGACTTCTGTGGACAGATGACTAAACCCTGCTAGTGCTGAAGTCTTTGGAAAAAATCCCACTGGCTTAGAGGAAGCTTGGATATAGCCCACGATACAGACACATTATAGTCTGGATTCTCCACTCACACCAGACACCAGGATAAGGTCATTGACTTCCATGGTGTAACTGCTGATTTAAACCAGGCAGCCATCACTGAGCTGTATAACTGGGCAGCCAGTGTCAGCCTCAAGCCCATCTTTCTCTTTCTCTCCTTCTGTGGCACTTTGCAGCAGAGGGAGGGAGAGGTCTCTTCAATATTGGTGGGGGAAGGGGAACCCACCACCCTGCATTCCTCAGCAGAATGCCCCATCTTCTAAGACACTCCAGAACCCACCCTCCCTTCAGAACCTCTCTTATCCTGTCTTCCTAATGCTGGAGCCAGCTCCATCCCTGGGTAGGGCTATCCAGCACCCAGGGTGGGTGGGACTCAAACCCCCAACCTTGTGCTTCCCAAGAAAATGGCCTATCCCCTAGTTCACTCTAGAACCCAACCCCACCTCCTGTGGGTCCCTTTTCCTGCTTTACAAATGCAGGAGTGCTAGCTAGACAACTGCTTATATGGGATGGGACTTGAACCCACCACCCTGTGCTCCCCAGGCAAAGGCCCTATCTTCTAAGCTACCACATCCACCCTACCAATCTTCAGAGCCTCCTTTATCTGGCTTTTCTGATGCAGGAGACAAAGTTTATCTGTCTCTGCCTGAGGGGGTTGGAATCAAGCCCGCCATCCTGTGCTCCCCATCCCCAAGTTCACTGGAGATCCCCTGCAGTCCCTTACCCTGCTTTCCTAATATGGGAGCCAGCTCCATCTCTCAGGCAGCCAATGTTGGCTGGCTCAGACTGAAGGCCCCAACCCTACACTCCCCAGGCAAATGCTGTATCCCTTAGTCCACTCAAGAACCCATCCCACTGCTCTACCTTCAGAGGGTCCCTTATCCTGTGCTGGCTTTCTGGTCATTTCCAAGGTGGGAGGAGGGACCTGTGCTCCTGGGGAGAGGCTTGAACCCACCACCATGTGCTCCCCCGGCCCTATCCAGTAAGCCACTCCACCTCCCCTATCTTGCCTCTCTCATGTGGGAGCCTGCTCTGTCCGTGTTGGCTGCCAGGCGGCTGCCTTGGTAGGTGGAGTAGGAGGTTGGGACTCAGAAGTCCACCACCCCGTGCTGCAGCTGCTGAATCTCCTAGGCCACTCCAGAACCTCCCATCCCACCTTCAGAGGGTCCCTTATCTGGCTTTCCAAATGCAGGAGCCAGCTCCATCCCTCGGGCAGCTTGTGTTGGCTGTCCAGACTCTCCCAGGGTGGGCAGAACTTAACTCCCCAACCCTGCACATCTGCTCAAGAACCCACCCTACTTTCCTAAGGTCCCTTACCCTGTGTTTGCTGTCTGGTCATTCCAGGGTGGGCAGGGCAGGCAGGATTCAAGCTCCCCACCACTGCTCCCCAGGGCAGGCAGGACACTGCACTCCCCAAGCCAATGCCCTAGCACCTAAGCCACTCCAGAACCCACCCCACTTTGCTACCTTCAGTGCCTCCCTTATCCTGTCTTCCTAATGTGGGAGCCAGCTCCATCCATGGAGCACCACCCAGTATTGGTTGCCCTGCCGCTGCCTGAGTGAGTAGAGATTGAGCCCACCACGCTGCTGTCCCCAGGCAAATACTGTATCCCCAAGTCCACTCAAGTACCCACACCACCTCCCTTACCTGCAGAGGGTCCCTTGGACTTGAGATCCCCCGGGCAGCCAATACCGGCTGCCCCCAGGGATGGACCTGGTACCTGCATTAGGAAAGCAGTATAAGGGAGGTGCTGAAGGTGGAGGGAGTAGAGTGGGTTCTGGAGTGACTTTGGGGATAGGGCTCTTGCCTGGGGGTCACAGGGTGGTAGGTTCAAACCCTGTTGCACCGTGGGATGACCAGACAACAAACACAGGATAAGGGTCCCTCAGAAGGTTGGGTGGGCTCTGGAATGCTCTGTGGGATTCAGCATTGGGAGCACAGGGTGGTGGGTTTGAGTCTCCCCTGATTCCCAACTCCACAGTAGCCTGGCAGCAAACACCTTGAGGGAGAGGTGCTGGAGAGAGGTCTCTTCAATAGTGGTGGGAGAGGGGAAATGGTGTCTAGCTTCACTGCACCATGGAGGAGGCCTACTCATTTCTTTGTTCCACCTCAGCTGAATTGAGTGAGGGGGCACTGGTGGAACCGGAGGGAAAAATCTGTCTCCTCTTTCTTAGTTCAGGTCATTTCTCCTGTCATCCTCTGGGAGAAATTCTCATCCTCCACTTAGATTGTTACCTTGCAGGCACATATGGGCCATGTGCTGCACCCTGGGTGTTCTTATTCTGTGTTTACATTGCAGCTGGGAAATGTCATCCTAGGTCACACAGATGTACACACCCTAGTTCTGCTCAGTGGTGTGGTGGCCTGGCTGGAGGCTAGGGCTACATACATCACCAGGATGTTGGGCAGGATTGCCCTTGTGGAGCTCACCTGAGCACCCAATCACATTGCTAATTTTAAATTACAGCCCTCAGCTGATGTGTAGACATAACTTTGGTTTCTACAAATCAGCTCCGTTGGTCTCTCTGGCATGTACTGTTCTCTAGCCAGCTTGTTGGTTTTGTTGGGCTTCTTGAGTTTGCATTCTACACTGCCCAACTTTCCCCTCCTGGGCCATGAATTTAATCCACGGTGTTTTCAAGTGAATCCTTTTGAGTTTTTACAGCAATGGGATGGATGAAATAACAAGAAACTCAGGTAACTTGCTGGCCCAGCAGTTGCCATGTTGACTTTGGTCTCTTCCAGCTCTTAAAGCAAGCAAGCGAGCCAAAAAGAGCAAAGGCGAAAGTTTTGAGAGCTATGAGGTAGCTTACATGCGCCTGCTGAAGCTGAGCGAGAATGGGGACATTGGCCAGCTGGTGGCAGATTTCATTGAAAAAGAGGAGAAGAACTTTGCATATTTCAGCTATGTCACTGAGCTAAACAACGAAATGGAGAGGCTGCAGAAGAAGACAGAGGACATTCAGGTGAGCCCTGGCTGCTTTGTTACACTCTTCACACTGCTGTTTCTCTTTCAGCATGAGGTTTTCTTCTTTCCGATCTTGCAGCTGTGGCTGCCCACGCTAAGGCCTCAGCTGCTGATCCCACAGTGGGTGTGTGACTTTCAGAACGTAAATGGGGTGTGTGTATATATATATATAGTCTCATTGCTGTCTTCTTGCACCCAGAGGAGATATTGCAAGAAAGTGACATCCCATAGCTGCACAGAGCTGAGGGTGTTTGCTGCTGGAGAAACTGAGCCAATGTTGTTTTTAATGGCCATTACTGGAAATGTGGACAGAAATGTGACAGCTAATGGTGCAAACATTTCTGCTGGGTGGGGTCAAGTCCCTGGAGGCTTGTCTTAGGGTTTTGCCTGGGTGAGACTCCCATTTAGTGTTGTGAGAGAGGTGATGGATGGAGGACTTCAGGGCTTGGCCCTGGTTTGAGGTTTTGGTGGGGGAGAGCAGAATTTCTAGCTCTGTCAGTGAGAGCTATTTCTGTCCTGCCTGGGGAACCTGGCTTCCCACCTGCCACAACATTTTCATCACATTCAAACTCATACTGAATAAGTGCCACACCCCAGCTACTAGTGACGGGCTCACTTTGCCCATTGTATAATCTTGTTCGACAGGCTAGTGGAGTGTTCTGTGGCCTCTTTGCAGCTTTGGCATGATGTTCTCATTTATGTACTTTCACTTCTGCCCATAGCTGCTGCAGCCTCCATGCCTTCTAATTAAATAAAAGCATTATATGCTGGAAGGGATTCTATGGAGCACTCTCTCAGCCTACCAAAGACTGAGACCTGTGCAGGGACCCATCAAATGGCTAGGCGTGGTGTGTGTGTGGTGGTGGTGAGGGGGGGGGGGATGGAATCAAGAAGCTGTTCAGAGGTTTTACTTTGCTACAAAGGATTGTTTCCAGGAGCAAATGGCACCCCATGCTGCACATAGCAAGCTGGGGTTTTCCCAGAGACTCAAAAACAGGCCTTAACACTTAACTCAGCTGTCCAGGTGTTCCCCAGTAGCTGTGATGGTTCCTGTTAGGAGAGCTGCTTCTCTGAGAACAGAGAGAGAAACACTCCTCCCCACACCACTTCAGCCATGCCAACATCTGTGCAGACTGTGGGTGGTGGGTGAACCTATGTCTGGAGAAGGCAAGTCCCAGCACACCCATTCCACCTAAGGTCTCTAGGAGCCAAGCCACCCCCCTCACAGGGAGGCATGCAAGCCCCAGCCAAACCCTCACCTCCAGCACAGGAAGGGAAGGTGGCATGCAGCCCTGGCCTTCCTTGGTCCCAGGAGCATGGGGATGGTGAATGGAGCACAGCCCCCACCTTCCCTGGAGAACAGGGATGGTGGGCACTCCCCACCCTGACCCCACAGTACAAGTGGTGCCCAGTCCGAGCTTTCCTGGCCCCCAGAGGACTGGGGGCATGGCCCCAGCTTCAGCCCAGGTAGACCCAGGAAACTGGGAAGGGTAGGGTGGGAGGTGAAATGGGGGCAGGGCTAAGCTGGCAGTTTTGGAAGGTGTTGCCTTCCCCTGCCTCTTATGCCTGCTGCCCATGGTGCAAAGGAATGTGGCCCAATGTATTCAGCAGTTACTTGTGGGACCTCTGAAATAGTTATGTTCCTGTCACTATGAGCTGACTGTTCAGAAATGGGTCCAAAGCAGTGGCTAATTGATGTAACCAATGCAAGAACAAACAACACAGGGTATGTCTAGCCTGCATTGTTCTTTTGGGATACCGGAAGTATCCTGAAATAGCAACACTGCATCTTTAAAAGCGCCCACTATTTCTTGAAATAGCATGCGTGCTATTCCGGCATCCCTGTAACTCTCATTCCACACCGTGTAGACAGTGCCAAATTTCAAAAAAAGCTCTTTCAATTTAGACTGAGAATAAGCCATGCAATTTGTGCTACATAAATTGCATAGCTTATTCTGACAGGATGCTAGGGATGTACCCATGTTCGTTGTGGCTGAACACTGAACATTCAGGACCCACACTCTGCTTAGCTCCTTCAATTTTATGACACACAGCATGTGCCAGGTGGCTATACCCTGCATTTTCCAGGTACTGAACAATCCATCAGGCACAAGGTAGTGGTTCCAGTCACCTGTCAAGCAATGGAGGGCAAAGAACACAAATCTGTTACGCTGACTTTGGAACATTTGTTTCCACTCCTAGGCTATATCTACATTGGCGCGATCTTGCACCAGAGCTATGCAAATGAGGCTAAGTGTGGAATATTGCCGAGCCTCATTTGCATATCTAATGAGCCACCATTTTTGTGGAAGAGGCTCTTGCGCCAGAAGGAGCGTCTACACTGCCCCTTCTTGCGCAAGAAAAACCCTCTTGCGCAATGCCGTTATGCCTGAAAATAATCAGCGTAACAGCAT